TGTGTGTGTGTGTGTGTGTGTGTGTGTGTGTGTGTGAAGAATGTTTTGCTTGTGAGAGTGACCAAACCATGTTAAACAAACCATCAGAGGGAAGTGTGAGAAGCTCACTGCACATCTAATTCCAGGCCCCGCAGCCCTGCTGTGCGGTTACACAGTGACATTTGTCCGTATCTTCCACTTTTTGTAGGCGGAGCTGCAGAAGCTGAGGCAACAGGCCCTGGAGACGAAACACTTCATTGAAAAGCAGGAAGCGGAAGAGAGGAAACTCCTGCGCATTATTGCCGAGGCCGATGGGGAGAGGCTGAGGCAGAAGAAGGAGTTAGACCAGGTAGGGGCAGCTCTCAGCAGCCCACGGGCCTCATCAGCAGACGCAGCTGTTTGGCCAGCTCTTCACAGACCCTCGCTCTTCCCCAGGCTCTTCCATTCAGTTTATTGGAAGAACAGTAGCAGAGGCTCATCTGTTGATTAATTATGCAATATTTATTTATTTATTCAAGTCATATCTACGAGTACTTACTATGTGTCAGTCACTCCTCTAGGCACTGGGGATACATTGAACAATGAGAACATAAGATCCCTGTTCTCAGGGAGCTTACATTCTAGTATAATATAATTGCTGGCATATAATTGCAATTAATAATTACATAATTTGGGGTTACAAACATATGCTTTCAGAGATCTGGCAGGTTAAAAAAAAAGTGTCTAGTGTAAGACAGGAGTGGTGGGTACTGGCAAGAGCTAGCCCACTATAAGCCACTCAAATTTAGGCATTTATAAAATAATGGATTGGAAAAAACCAACCAAACACCTGCGGGCCAAGGATCATTGGATTGTTATCACTGTGGATTATTTGTTGTATCTTTCTCTTTTTAACAAGACTGCAAACCCTCATGGGAGGGGTCCAGTGTTGATGGTCTAGCAGGCCGTTTCCAGTGCCCCACCCCCTGGCTGCCTGGCACATGCGGGCATTGGCTGAATGTTCACTGACTGAATGAATGCTGCTGCTGTAATGAAAAGTGAGACCCTTTGGCCCCTGGTGGCCATGTCCTTCCCTACCTTTCTAGGTCATCGGCGAGAGAGATATTCTCGGGTCGCAGCTGGTTCGGCGCAACGATGAGTTGGCTTTGCTCTATGAGAAGATCAAGATCCAACAGTCGGTGCTGAACAAAGGCGAGAGCCAGTACAACCAGAGGCTGGAGGACATGAGGATCCTCAAGCTAGAGATCAAGAAGCTTCGCCGGGAAAAGGGGATTCTTGCCAGGAGTGTGGCTAATGTCGAGGAACTCAGGTAGTCGGAAACCCCTCTGAACTAGGGGCGCAGGGGCGCAGTGGTGGGTGGGGAGTTCCCAAAATTACCTTGTGTGCCTTTTTTGGTCATTGAGGTCTTTATCAAGTTGTATAAAATAATTTCTTATATGTTGAAATTATTAGCAAATAAGAACAACTTTTCAATAATTCAGAATCTACATTGTGCCTCTTCTGTGTCACAAAAAAATGAATTAGTTCCGTTTCAGGGGAATATAAGCGAGTGCAAAAAGATTTTTTAAAAACTTTATTCTGGATTTAAAAGAAAGAAATTTCAAGTCAAATCACAAATATGAATTAGTTACAATTCAGAAAAATTTTTTTCCCAATGAGCCCTTTAGACTTTCTTTAATAAGGCAATACCCAAGAGATGGAACATCAATATTTAAATTTAATCCTGGCAACATTTGCACATTTTTTCTTGGAATTATATACAGAATCAAAAGGGGGAAAATTTAATTTTATCACTATTTGAAAACTGTTTCCTTAGAAGGCGGCCAAATTTTATATCTCACTCTTGATTTATCCTCTGCAGCTTTCACTTTAGCTTAGTGAGCCTTCTTCTTGCTTTAAATCTTACATTATATAAGATGTACTTTCCCGTTGGGAAAACATCACCATGTTTTATATAGGCAATTGCAGGAACCAAATAAGAGGTTCAGTGTTTTCTCGGTAACTATCTTTAGTCCCCACAGACTTGTAGATGAACAGTATCCCTGACAACCTTGGGACAAGGACACGGTTTGGATTGCCTTCTTAAATTAACCGAATTAGAAAATAGTTTTGATATTTAGATGCAGTGAGTGTGTTCAGGAATAGCAAAGGAAGTTGCCACTACCATGGATATATCAGTACTTTTTTTCCTAAGAGTTGCTAGTATTTCAGATGATAAAAGTAATACCAATTCATTGTAGAAAATGTGAGAAATGCAGAAACAATATAAAGAAGGAATTAGAAAAATTACTCATAAGTTTACTACCCAGAGATACATACCATCATTGGCATTTTGGAGACAAATGGATTCATTCTAAGTAGCTATTGAATGATCTCTGAGACCATTACTAAACTTGCCAGCCATGAGTTATTTTTATTACGCACACAAAGGACCAAATTCTACCCATTTGCTGGTTTGTTGATAATAGATTTTATTTTTCTTTTCAATGGGAAGACAGCTTAATAAAGATATTGGAGCCAAGCAGGCATGAATTCCAATCTCAGCCTTGCTACCTACGAGCTGTGCGACCTTGGGAAAATCACTTAACTTCTCTGAGCATTAGACTTGCAGTTAAAATTAAACATGAAAACAAACAGAATGTGCCCCCCACAAAGCCCAGTAGCTAATACTCTTGCCCTTCTCTTGTGATGGTAATCTAGAAAATAGAAGTGTTAAAAATATGCTTTTAATTCTAAGCAGCTTGTTCTGAGCTCCCTGCTGAGTGAACATTATGCAGTTAATTCTAATGGTTTGCCTTGCTAATGAGGGGAAGTTGTATTATTGGTTTAAATGAAGCAATTAAGTAAAAGAGATGGCTTAGTATTGGTAATCTGCACACACGCAGCAGGCGAGGACCGATAATTCCTTATTGTCCATCCTCGCTGCCCGCATCAGTGCCAGTGCTTGCTGCTCTGCCCCCCAACAAAGTGTCCTGTTCCCTAGGGTGGCAGCAAGCTCATGGGGTATTGGGGACGACTGTAGCACATTTCGTACTAACTAGAGATTCCCACAGATTTTAGAAGTACGCTTGAGCCCGAACTAGTTGTTCAGCCATCTGTGCAGTTGTGGAACACCAGATAACATATCTCTCTTAACTCGGTGTTTCTCAACCCTGGCTGCACGTTAGAAATTACCACGAGGACTTTAAAACCTACAAAATCTAAGCCACGTGCCGGACGGAGTAAAGCAGAATCTCTCTGGGGATAATGGGCAGGCAAAGGCATGTTTTCAAAGCTGCCCAGGTGACTCCAGTGGGCAGTCGGGATGGCCATGCCCTGCCCTGATCGGCGTCAGGTTATCTGTCACCTGAGCCTCGACATCTCGCAGTCGGGTCCAATACCTTGTGGTGGGATGTAGGCTGTGCTCTTGTTGCTGCTGTAGAGACATTTAGAAACTAAAAAGTATATCGAAATTCTTGTAATTCACTTCCTCCCTGTTCTTTCCAGAATCAGGATTCTGAAGGTCTGGCACTTTTTATTTTATTTTATTTTATTTTATTTTTTTAAGCTAAGGCTGAAGTTTGAGCTCTTCAAGAATTGTATCATCTGTGTCTGGATCAGATTAGGAGTCTGGTCTCAGTGTTTGCAAAAGCCTCCTGAATTCCAACTTTTTATATAAGATGTAGCATGTATGTAAAACCACATAAAGTTATGATATTCAAATGGGTGGAGAGTTCCTTTGCGAAAAGAAGTGTGTCTTGTCCAGACAGGAGCTTTTTCACATGCAAAGAGAGTTCATGAAGGAGAGGACGCGGTGCCGAGCCCTGGAGGAGGAGCTGGAGAACCCCATGAACGTGCACAGATGGAGGAAGCTTGAGGTAACCTCTGGCAGGGCCTGCCTCTCACCCCCAGATCTCTTCATCCACCCCCACATGGCTTCACCACTAAAGCGCAACGAGAAGGGTGGTTTGATTTAATGCTATGCAAATTGTCCCCTAAAATGTAAGGCTGGATCAGATGTAATTTGAGTTCCCAGAACAAGAACAAAAGTTCACAGAACCAGATGGTTCACTTGGGGTTTGTTTAAAAGTCCGGGACAAAACCCTTTCTGCGTAAAGAAGACCTAGTGGAAACTGTGGACTGGCTTCACCAACCGACATTCGTTTTTCTCTTTTCGGTAATTTTTGCCCAAACAGCTCTCCTGTGGCTTCCTGTTAGTCTGGGATAGTTAATTGCCTTTACTTACACTGGCCACCAGCGTCTTCAACTATCTTTCAACTGGTCTTTGCATCTTTTTATTTCATGTAGGAAATACAGCTCTTGTGAACGAGCCCTCTTTTTGAAGGACTAGCCTTGGGTTTGCCAAACTCTTTCTCTCAGAACCTTGGGAACACAGCCAAAGTCCATGGGTAGGTGATGGGTAATAGAGGCATACCTCGTTCATGGTGCTTCACGGGTATTGCTTTTTTTTTTTTTTTTTTTTTTAAAAAAA